GATAATGTTAGCATTTGAGAGAGTGTATCTATGCGCATGTCCCTGAAGTAAAAGGTCGGTTAAGACTTTGTGTGTATTATTGTGTGAGATAAACGGTATATTACCTTATCTTTGAGGGATTTTTTGCAAAAAAATATTCCCATACCGAATACAACGTTGGCCTTACAGGAGTAAAAACACGTGAAAACCTATTCATTTCAGATATAAATATTGATCAAACAAATTCAAATAGTTGAATTTAACAATAAACCATTTTATAAAATGAGTGCTGTCAATAGAAAACCTGTCATCGGGCTTTCAATGTTCAGTTGGCTTTCAGTTGGCTTTCTGCATGCTGTCTATGGACAATCTATCATCAAAATAGATTGCCCATAGATGGAATGCAGAAAGCCAACTGAACATTGAAAGCCCGATGACAGGTTTTCTATTGACAGCACTCAAATAATATCCTCACTTTGCTTCTTTTCGTTTAATATATTTCGCTTTAGAGTACTCAGTTTTTTTATCAAATGATGAGTGACTTTCGATTACTTTCTTGATAATATCCTAAATATCAAAATTTGATTGATGCCTTCAAATTAATTCAATGTAAAAGTTTTTTGTTTTTTTTTTAAATAAAAACAAACCTGTCCTTCCATTCCATCTTTTTTCAATTGTTCGATATCTTGGTAGGATAACTTCTGTTTAGACGGATCATCAATTGTTTTTTGATTATTTGCACCAGAATCATCTAAATCTAAGGTGATCAAAAAATAAATTAACCTATATTACAATTGAGAATATGGTCAATGAAAATGTTTCTTACCAACTTCATAAAATGCAACGTTTCTAATGACTTTTATTTTATCACGGTCATAAATTTCGTAAGAATGACCAAAAGGCTTCCCTATTATATCATTCGTATGGAAAGTACCAAATTTTCCCAATGATACAGTTCTATAGAAGTGAAATAATAAAAAATGATCAATTGTATTAAATACAGTGACTACAATTAAATAATTAAGACGAAAGAAAAGAAGTTTAATACACACTCACGTATCCTTTTGTAGTTTAACCACCTTAATATTACTACTCGGAAGTACAATAAACACATATTGATTATCCATAATACGAAGTGTATCAGTATGTTCTTGTTCAAAAGATTCATTATTGTAATCGATTTCATCAAAATTCTGGGAATCAACCGGGCTGTCAGATTGTTCCAAAGACATCGTTAGAAGTAGTGGGTTGATAAACTTCCGAATTGAATTATTTTTAATAAAAATTTCAGCCAATCAAAGTGAGACATTACTCGATCAATGAGATCATCGCAGACGTTCAAATTTCGAATGAATATATTTTATTTTATTTGAGAAACAAAAATTTTTCGACAATATCA